TATAAAATGAGGCGCTAAAATACGTTTTATCAAATAGCTTCATTGATAAGCATTACATATACTCTTCTCTAACTATAATGTTATAAGACGTAAATGAAGCGCTAACCAGAGGCAGTAAAATATGTTATCAAATATAAAATGAGGCTCTAAAATACGTTTTATCAAATAGCTTCATTGATAAGCATTACATACACTCTCCTCTAACTATAATGTGATAACAGGTAAATGAGGCGCCAACGAGAGGCGCTAAAATGAGGTGCCAACGAGAGGCGCTAAAATGAGTATATGGGGAGAGGCGGCCCCATATACACACATCATATATATGTACATATGTACATATAAATGATTACCATACATTTGGATAAACAACACAATGAATTATCAGTATTTTTAGCACAAACACTTTGGGGAAGTTTTTTACTTTAAGTTGTAAAGTAATGGGTTATATGTTAGATTATCTAAAATGTCATATCAAATCTCTGTTTATAGAATGCAGTTATATATGTACTACATGTTCAAATTTTTGTTGAACTAGGTATAATAGTTCAGTTGACCATTTTTATTGTATTTCTATAGCTTTTTATTGTAGCTTATTGGAATTTTTTTAAAATTTAAAGTTTTCATATTATACATAAAGTACACTCTTCTTTATTTAAAGCTTTAATACTAGTATAGTTGTGAAATATTCATAAACAAGAGTATTATATTCTATAAAAACATTTTTTTTATTCAATAAAAAATTATTACATTCAAAAATGAAGTACAGCAATTCAGAAAAAATTGAAATGTTGACGTGCTATATTGAGAGCAAAAAAAATAAGAGAGCTGCAGCAATGTTAGTATGACTTTTTATTGTTTTTTCATTATTTTACATATTTGAAATTTAATGAATTTAGGTTGTATGCTCAGCGTTTTAATGAGCGAATATGCCCTTCACCGAATACATTTTTAAATGTGTTCAATTCTATAAGTCAACATGGTAGATTAAAAAAAAAAATAATAAGAAAAAATACTAAAAGTGATGAAAGTAACGCATTGATAATTTTAGCTTATGTAATTGCCCATCCTCATACATCAATAAGAGATATAGCAGGTATTTCTATAAAATAAAGTATGAAGTTATATATCTTATTATTAGTTTCTATTATTTTTAGAGGAGTTTGGTTATTCTTTTGGAAATGTACACCGCATTTTAAAAAAATATAAATATCACGCATACAAGCCCGTAGTGGTACAAACTTTAGTTCCTTGGGACTACGTACGACGGCTAGATTTCATTAGTCATATGTTGATTAAGCTTGATGACAATCCAAATTTTTTATCTTCTATTTTATGGACCGATTTAGCTAAATTTAGCAACAATGGAGTGACGAATCGACATAATTCCCACTTATGGAATGATACCAATCCTCATTGGATCATAGAAGGCCACAATCAAGTACGGTGGAATATAAATGTATGGTGTGGTGTAATAGATGACCAGATTGTTGGTCCATATTTTTTTAATGAAAACTTGACTGCCACTAAATATTTGAACTTTCTAAAAAATGAGTTAATTTTGTTATTAGAAAATGTACCTATTGAAAAGAGACAATACATGTTTTGGCAGCAAGACGGTGCTCCAGCACACAATAGCACAATTGTTTATAATTATTTAGAAACTGTTTATAAGGACAGGTGGATGGGAACTAATAGTCCAGGAATTAAGTAGCCGGCCCGGTCACCAGATTTATCAGTTTTAGATATGAGGTTAAACTAGATTNGAAGTGGCCGGCCCGGTCACCAGATTTATCAGTTTTAGATTTCTATTTATGGGGATATATCAAAAATGAAGTTTACAAAGAAAAAGTAAATAATTTGGATGAATTAAAAATTAAAATTAAAAATGTTTAAAAATACCTCAAAGCGTTCTGAAAAATGTAACAACCAATGAGGTTAAAAGACGTTTAGAATTGTGTATAAACCATCAAGGACAACATTTTCAACAATATTTGTAAATAAGTTTTAAGTTGTAAATAAATTTTGTATAAATAACCTAGTTTTCGTGTAAAAATTTGTTCAAATAAACTAAAGAATGTACATACTAATGCATACATTTTAATGTAAATGTTTAAAAAATGAAGATTTAAAAAGTTGGTGTGTACCAAGGTTCTGCTTTAAGTTCTAATCTATTTTTAACAGTAATGGATCAAATTACAAAAGAAATAAAGAAGATGTGCTTGAGGTTTGCTGATGATATAGTGTTGATTGGCAAGAAATTAAACTAAAGGCTAGAGATGTAGATATACGATTTTGAAGGCATCCAAATTATGAATTTGATTAAGGAGAAGTCAAGGTAGATGACATGGGAAGAATATAGACAATAAGCAGGAATATGATAGGGAATGTGTAAAGTTATAAGTATTAAAGATCAATTGTACTGAGGCAATGATAACGATGAGGTCTGCATAAGTTTATGAGTGGGTGGTTGATGCTTAAAGAAGTGATTTATACAATAAGAGAATTTGATTCAGGCTGAAAGGTAAGGTCTACAAGACTAGAATGAGGCTAGCAATTATGTATAGTTTAGATTCTAAATTATAGAATATTGGGTGTTTGATTAGAAAACAGACCATTGGGTTGTAGAAATGAGAATACTCAGATCGACAAGTGGAACAATGAGTGAAAAAAGAATAAGGAATGAATAAAAAAGTTAAAGTCTAGGTGTAGAGTTAATAGTGGACAAGAAAAGTGAAAACACACTTAGGTGTGGGATATATAAAGATGTGACGTAAGGACTGCTACTGTGTGTTGATTACATATGTGATTATGACAAGTGGAAGTTGAGGCTAAAAGTAAATGGGATTAAGCTGAGGAAGAAAAAACAATTTACTTTACTTTGTTGATATCTAACAAAGATTTAACTACCGGAATCATTAATAAACTATATTAAAATTTTAATTCATAAATATTCATACAAGTAATATTTGTACTTTGAAATTATTATCCTTTAAGTATAATGACAAAAATAAGATTACGAGGATCAGTAAAATTTTTTATATATTTTATTTTATTAATTCATAATTGGGAATTTTTAATACTTCCATCACCACACTAATTATATTGATAACTTTGTTGAATATACCATAAAAATACATCAATGTTATTTAATTTTAATGTAGGATCTTACCAATTCTTGTAGTGCACATACATATGAATGCAATTAATATTTTTACCAACAATATATAATAGGGAATTAACACAAACGCTGTACATTTATTAATAAACGCCATCGATTAAATTAATACGCAATTGCACTGATACATTTTTTGTGATTATGAAATATACACCAAGTGAAGAAATTCATCGTCCTGTTATGATATATATATATGATAACAGGACGATGAAATATCGATGTTCCTTTAAGAGGAGCATTACTTATTACATTGTCATTGAAATAGTTGTAGTAAGTTTTAAGAAATAAATTATACTATTGAGTTATTAGCTTTCAAAACAGGTAAAACTAATTAAACTTAAAAATAGTATCTTTAACACATAGGTACAAATAAAAAACGGAAAAATATTAAGGAAATAACATTGGATTATTTTCACTAGTTAAAGCAAAAAATTTAATACCATAATTAATTTGGTTAATTTTAATTATTTCCATCATGTCACATTCATAGATCTCATTCTTTTTTTTGTTTTGGAATCGTAAAATTATGGTATTTTAAGATAATTAATTTATTGGTTTAGTAAAAAAAAACGCTCCTCAAATTATTTTTAAATGTACATGAGTATATTAAACATCGAATAATTCATCTTCAATTATAACAGAATTACTTTGATCATTAATTTTTTTTGCTATGTGCCCTGTTGAACCCAGGGAACTTGTACTCAGCAGTCCTGTAATAATAACAAAAAAATTATGTTATGCATTTTTTGAAATATGTTATTTATGACTGGAATGAAACACCTAAAACATACTTTTTGTTTCTTGTGCCACAGCAACTCGTTCAATGACATCTGGCCCCCCACTTGGCATTGGGTAAGTGTTATTTGTATTCCTTTTCCTGTCCATTGTACAGCATCTTACCTAAATTTTTTTATTTTTTTATTTATTAGTATTATAGTACATTAAAGTTACTTAATGTGTTCATAAAATCTTGTAAAGTTTTAGAAGAACTTTAAAATAATCACAATTAAGTTTTACAAGCCATATTAGTCTTGATAAATGCTTAAGATATATGTAAGCCTGGGGTCAAAATTAGGTAGTATACAAAATTGTAAAAAATTTTTTTCATTTATCAAGTGATCAGTATTAAAATAATAATTGTGTAGATAAAATTATATGTTTACTTTGAAAAAAAAGTTTTACTTTAAAATTTTTTTTAGTTTATCTACTGTAGTTTTGATTGTATATTAAACTTTTTGGACTCAAGCCCTTGACGTACATACATCAAATATACATGTATATTTATAGATGATGTATCTGCACCTTTAATTTACTCATTGAATTGTTTTCACAAATTTTCAAAAAATCATTTAAAAAAAAAAAATTTTAACAGTGTTTATCTGACTTTTGTCTAGACCCCTGGCATATATTTCCCATTACACCCTCACAACAATTTTTGAGAACTTAACATGAAGTGTAAGATTTCCTACTAAATTTTCAGAATGCAGATCAGTGGTGGTATTACTCTTCCATACCTATGGAGTGGAAAGTGCCAAAAAGTTTATAGGCTACAATATATGTATTGAACAAATAAATCAAGGAAATGTGGCAATAGAAGAATGGCCAGCTGACTCAATATCTTCACTACTCTCCGCTACAGCCTTGTAGTAATCTAATTCTGTACCTTTGTATGAGGGATTCGTTTCCATAAATGCCTCAAACATTGTTAATACAGTAGCATCATTTGAAGAATTACTAAACTCCATTTTGCTCATTTAAAACAAAATTAAAAATTAATACAATATATGTATTGAACAAATAAATCAAGGAAATGTGGCAATAGAAGAATGGCCAGCTGACTCAAATAGTATAAATTAAATTCTATTATACTTAAAATCATCAAAATTAAATTATACCTCGCCATTTTTAGACCAATAGTTATATCGAGCTTTGGCTCTTCGAAGGATAACAAAATCAGCATCATTTGCTGGTTTATAGTTGCCGATTATATTTTTGAAGTTTGAATGTTGATATCCCAGGGATAGGTCTTCCGCCAACGAGCTTCTTCATAACAAGTCGATATGGCAATCCCATGGGTTTGTATCGACCAGTTTACATAATGTATTCCAACTATCATCCTTGCTTTTCCGTATTGTTACTCTCAATACTTTTCTCCCATCTCTCGCCGCCTGGTGTAACTCATCAAACTCGTCCTGTCCTCGGCGTTTCCTTGCTCTTTGGTATGCCCTCCTGGATGCAAATGCTGCTTTACGCAAACCATTAATTTCAGAAGTCCACCAGTGTACTGGTTTTTTCCCACGGTGGTGCATGCAACGCATGCAGACCTCTCACGCCTCTGCCAAGTATTGATCCAACATAGTTGATTCGCCGTTTGCGCCATCTGTACTATCTTCCAAACCCTTCTCAGCTTAGAATTCCCTCAGTTTATCGATGTCGAATTTGCGCCAACACCAGCCATTTACTGGACCGGATTGAGTTGGGCCAGTAGCCTCACATCCGACATCAAACAGAATATAGCGGTAGTCACTATCCGTAAAGTCTTCTAATACTTTCCATCTGGTTACTTTGCGTCGCAGTTCCCTTGTAACAAAAGTTATGTCGATGAAAGATTCGGATGCGTGTCTCGCGAATGTGGATTTTGTCAGCCTATCCCGGGCGATCCGAACAGTGGTCGCACGTCGGCGCGGCTGCTTTACGAATACGGTGCAAGTACTCGTTAAATCAGCCGTGGCCGGAAATCACTTGAATGGGATAATAAGTCATCTCACCGTCCACCCTTTTTTTTTTTTTCTCCACAAACCGGCATATTGTGGACCGCCCTGGAACTACCGCGAGGTATTGCTTCAGGGCGGCCCACGCCGTCTAAAATTCACACCACCACGTTGTAAATCAGCCCGAAATTAATCAAGAACTGATTCACAACGTGGTGTGGCCTCCCCCGTTAGCCGGTTCCCAAAAGGCGGAATCCGTTGCCCGGGTTGCACCACGTGGAGGTGGGGGCAGGACTTTGCGAGGGATGGGCAGAATAACTCACAAACATAAAAACATAAAACACATGCAATAAGCACCTACGGCGCCAGTCTAGCCGACGCCGCAGGTACTACCACCCTGGTAGCTTTTGGAATAAACCATTATTTTTTTTTAATTAAACACTATCTACAGATTTGTATCGAAGCGTTTTTTATGATAGTGATTTTAATCACTGTCAGATATCATCTATACTGGACCCAACTATGCCACGACCCCACTGTGCCGCCATCCCACTGTGCTGGGTTTTGTTTGGATAAATCAATCCTAGTGATAGATATTAATTTAATTCATTAATTTTTACTGTAGAGCTTCACGGCTATTGGAAAAATGAAATTATGTTACTTAACCCTAGGTATTTATACTTGGAAGGACGAGTAAAGAAACTGAAAGAGATAGAAAGTAATATTTAAAAGGGGCTTACCTTTTTATTTTCTGAAGTTCGTTATGAAATAAATAGTACTGTGATACAAAAAGTGCACAACCCGGACGTAAAATCTACATTTATAGGGTATTGTTTATACAGCTCTGTTGATATATTTAGTATTAACTATTAATATTTTTAATAAATAGTAAAAATATAAATTATTGAGACTTAATTATAGACCTAATATATGACTATTATTTTAATAAAATCAGCAAAATATGTCAACTAAATCAAAAATGATTTAATTTTTCAGTATATTCAGAAGCTTTCTGTATATATTTGTATATATAAATTGTATTTTTTCTAAATAAAAAAAAAATTGAAACAATACTTAATTATTTTTATTTATTGTTATGGTAATTATTGTCTTATTTAATACATTTTTAAGTATGAATATATACTTTTAAAAGTTTTCATTTTGAATGAAATGGTATTCAAAGATAAAAATATAATCAAATATTTAATTAGATATTTAATTTTAATAACTATAATAAAGCAATTACGGAGTAGTTTATTGAACAATATTCTTATTAAAGTATGAAATTAAATATTTATACAAATGATTATAATACAATTTATAACGTAATACAATTTTATATCAATTTATGAAGGGTTATGGAATAAAACCATTCAAGTTTGACACGAATGCAATTATATTTTGTAAGTAATAATATTAAAACATTCGCGCTAATAAAAGTGACTACTTTTTGTACAGTGTAATATATAATATACAGATATAACGTTTGAAAATACAGGACAAATTCCAACTACTATAAAAACTGAAATGATTGAGTGTTGTGAGGATATAACTGAAAAAGATCAATTATGTGATGTAAGATTTACAATTTATTATTCAATTAAATACAAAATAAATTCAATATAAAAAATTTGTTGGTTTTTTAGCTTTGATATGAGCTGATAAGGTATTAATTTTACTAAGATGCGTATTAAGAAATAGGTGATACGTAACCAATTCCCCTTAATTTTTTATTCGAAAATATTTATTTTGACTTTAAACTTATAAAACCTTAAAAAATAATAAAAAAATTTTTTGTATATTATATGTTAAAAGTCATAAAACAATGTTAGGTACACGTGTTCATATCTATCCTTTCCATGAAAAAAAATCAATATGAAATTTGACACAGGATGGTGATAATAGGAGTACAAGTTTTTTGGTTTTGAGTGACGTTAAGCCGTTTATTAAACAAATGAACAATAATAATATTATGGTTCGTATAGTACTAAGCACTTTCCAACTATCTATTACGTTTTGACATGATCGTTCGGAGGCGTGGTGATAATTTTTGTGTTTTGTTGTTTGGAGACTAATCGGTAGTCGTTGGCGGTGGTGGAATCTACTGGCTCTACGTGTTGTTTATCTCAGTCACCCGGCTGCTTCCTTTCCCTTCCCAGGACGAGTAAAGAGGTAGAGTAGCTAATTTGTTCATTACAGCGATTGCGTAACGCGAACAATAGCAGTGGTAGTTTTAAATCTCAAGAAGAGTGGCTGGACTCGGATAATAATGCATGGAGTTCCTTCTTTAATTCCTGGTTTCTACGTTATACCAGGTTGGAACGTGGGTGGTAGATATCGGCGTGCTCGTGGCTTCGCTTCCCCACCGGTGCAACATGTCGATCATTTCTTTCTTCAACCGAGATTTGCCGTTTTCGCATAAATTTACCCGTGCGTATACGATACGTGAGAAAAACTCGTAGCATATCAACAATTGTTTTTGCTGTCTCAGCGTCAATGAGATACAATTTGGTTTATCTACTGAAACAGTCAGTCGTCACTAATAAGTTTTGCACAAGATGC